ATATAAATCCATTTATCCAACAGTTTTATTGAATTTTGTAGCACAGATATAAAATGTTTATATGTATAAAAACTTATTTTAAATTGCTTTTGCTCGTTAGTGAGAGGCAGACCTTGGCTTTAATAGGGTAGGGCTTTGGGAAAGATGAGACAGTAAAAGTAGACTAAGGCAAACCAAAAAGGCTTTCACTAAAGTCAAATGTAAAGCACATCATTGTTGTTTAAAAACTAAATATCTACAATATCACAATACTAAAATACAAGACACATATCCATCATTTTAACCACTTAATGCCAATTCACGTACATGTACATCATTTGACTTTAAGTTGTTATACTGGGATGATGCCTGAAGCTATAGGCACCATTCTGGAAATTATATAAGTAATATTTCCATAAAGAAAATTGATTTTCTCAGCTGACATATGCTGGAAAAAATGTTTAAAATGCAGGGGTTGGACAAAATCATGGAAACACCAGGTAAAAGAATCAAATCTTTACCTAATATAGTGCTGGCTGACTTTGGCATCCAAGACGGCTTGAATTTTTCTGGGAATTGACAAATATAAGTCTTGGGTGGTAGTTAATAGAAACTGATACCACTCTTCATGCAAAAAATCATTCCAGTTCTTGTAAAGATGCCAGAGGTGAAAAACAAGCCTGAACCTTGTTCTCCAAAATTGATCATAGTGATTCTAAGATATTGAGGTTTGGGAACTGCTGCATCCAGGGAAGGTGCAAGACTTCATCTGTATTGGTAAATGGTGCCGTCTTCCAAAAACAATGTCTGCACCATCAAGTGCACATGATCAGCCAACATATGTACATTTCTACCTTTTAAGGTGATAATGGAATCTGCAGAATACCAACATGTAGTTGTCCAAACCATGATTGCACCACCATCATGCTTTAACGTTGGCACAAAACAGTCCTGGTTGTAGGCTTGGGACAGTGTTTGCCATACATAAACATGTCCAGTGGTTGGGAACAGTGTGACAACCATATTATAGTCTTCCATTGATCAACAGTCCACGATTAATGGGTTTTGCACCACTCAGTCCTCTTTTGATCATTAATATCGGTCACTGGTGATTTGGCAATTGCATTGCGCTTGTGAATGTTTTGCCTATGCAGTTCCCTCCATACAGTTTTTCTAGACATGGGTTTTTGAAGACTGAGACTGAGCTCTACACAACTTTACTAGAAGTTGTTTTCTTATTCCGGATCACAGTCCTGTGCAATGTCCTTTTGTCTCTTTTGATCAGTTGACCATGTCAATCACGCTTATGCTTATCAGACGACGTTTTCCCAGAAACTGTATATGCTGCCATAACCTTTGATGCTGCACCTTGCAGCAAGGAAAATAAATTGCCAACTTCAGTCACAGAGGCACCAGCTAAGTGGCATCAACAATTTTCCCTCTTTGAAGTTCAGTAAGCTTTGACATGACTCTGCATTACTAGCAGCGGATGCAGTGATTGATGAAGGTAAGGCTCCCCACCTGTTAGCTAGGTGTCTCATCACACAGCGGATGCCAAAGCATGTTACATCACTTCTGCTTTCAACACGAAACATATCATCACTTACACACCTGCTAATCATGTAGTGTTTCCATAGTTTTGTTCAACCCCTGTATGTGGCATTGGCAAGATAGCAAAACAGACATGTATGATGGACAATGGTCAAAAATATTCAGATCTACAAAGAAAACATAATTCTGGCATATTGGTCAGTTGGAGGATCACATTAAAAAAAAATATTTTTGTTTTCTTTGAAGTGTAAATGGGTAAATAATTGATGAGAATTTTTAATTTGTTAAATTGTAAATTCACCCTTTCAAAAAAATTAAAAAGGTGAACTCCCTACACCCCTGCAGTCCCTGTAGCACTTACCACCATGGGTCATTATCACATACCTGGTGATGGAGGCTAATGGAGAGAGGGGCTTCCCTTGTGGCTAAGTTCTGGACTCCCCTGAGAGTGGGACAGAGGGAGTCTGGCCCAAAGTTGCACAGGTCGCCTGTAGGAGTGCTGGTTGGTGATCCACTCAGAAGCACAGCTGGTGCACGGAGATAGGTCTGCAGACGGAAGGTGCCTGTGCGTGGTATGCAAGCCCTTCCGGGATTTAGATGTTTACTGGGTAGTCGGTTCAAGCCAAGGTCAGGTACCAGGTGGGAATCAGAGCAGACGTAGTCAGATGGGATAGCCGAGGTCATACACAGAGGAGCGAGAGAGGGAATATCCATAAGCCAGGCCGGGGTCAGATCAGGGGTAAGGCAGAGTAGACAGGTCCAGCAGCAAGCCGAGTCGGTAACAGGAAGTTGCAGGTCAGAATCACAGGAAACAGGAACAGGGCACAGGGAGCTAGAGATCATCCAGCAACTAGAGGAAGTGATGATCCTCCTTATGAAGGGTGAGGCTGATGTGTACTTCTGCAGCCATGTAGAGTACTGGCAGAAATGCCAGATCTTCCAGAACCTGCCGTGGACAGGACCCTGACAGTCATCAGCTGTCCCTGCCCACACAGCCAATATAGTGGTTCAGGGATTTAAAAGCTTGGTTCTTCTTTCCCTCCTTTCTTTAGAGCTTCTCTAGTCTGGGAGTATTGGGAAGAGTGCTACAATAGTTGAATATGTCCAGTAGAGGGTTTTATTTAACATGTTACAAAACTAGAAAGAAAACATGTTTCAGGAGCTCAAAACTCTCCATTAATCAGGACTGAAAAATTAGATAGTTTCTCTTTTCTCAGTCCTCATACAGGGGGAATCTTCAGCTTCAAAACACATTGGATTTCTACTTTTACACCATGTTACAAAGATCCCTCTACTGGACCTCTTCAACTCTCCAGGGACTCTTGATGATATCCCTTTTAATGAAGAGCTTCCTTCAAAATGTAAGATTTTGAACAACTGATTCTCACCCAGTCTGGAGTCCAGCACTCCTACAAAAAATATCTTACATTTTATTACAGAAGTTTAGCACTACCCCCCCTTAGGAGCTGCAAAAGTGTTTGGGTCTCCCTATAGTCCTGAACAGTCAGGCAACACATATTTCTACTAAAACTTGCATTCAGGGGTCAGTAACCAGTCCTTGAGCTTGTTTTGAAGTTTTATTGGGGGGGGGGGGGGTCAGCTTGGATAGGGTAAGGGGTGTAAGGGATGTCCAATGGAACTGGGAAACCAAGAACAACTTCCTGAAATATGTATAGGTTGTTCCAGCAAACAGTCTCTTTCACAGAGGGGTCTGGGATTCTCCTCTATCTGACTGCCTGGAGGAATCCCTATGCAAGGGCCTGCTGCTTAAAAAGAAGACAGTCCTTGGTAGTTGCTAAACTGGAGTGCTTTTTCCCTGCTACACAGGTGGTCCTCTCTCAAGGGGCTGGTGAAGGTCCAAGCTTCCCTCCTTCCTAGGTCCCTGCCTGTAAGTGAGCCCCTTCCCACCTGGGCCCCATCCCAGGCTCTTGCTCTCCAGCCTTTACAACCTGTTCCACCCCAACTCTTGTCCAACTCTCCTCCTGTTGAGCAGGTTCTGTCACATAAGGGTTGTCCTGGCCCCTTGCCAAGCTTCCTATTGGGGATTGGCCAGGATCCCGCAAAGGTGCAGATCAGCTAATCCTAACATCCACCGACTGCTTCTAGAACTTTCTCCAAAGTCCTAGCGCAGGGGAAATCTCAGAGAACTGATCTGCAGAGCCTCTCAGCTCTGACCTGAATGTGACCCTTTGAATATTGCACAGGCTGCTACTCAGCCTCTGACTAAGAATTAGCTGACTAGGAGGGTGCTACAGAAGAAGAATAAAAGATTAAGGATTAAAGGCGAGCAGGGGATATGAATGAAAACATTGGGAAAATAACAATGACTGGCCTAATGTGGTAACCATAACAAAGCCTTCCATTTCTCTTTCATCCTGTAAGGACTTGCTTAATCATATTTGTCTGCAGGGGCGGACTGACCATTTAGCCACTCGGGCACTGCCCGAGGGCCCGGGGTCAGTAGGAGGCCCCATGAGATGCCTCTGGTACCTGTCATAGGCTTTTTTGTGTGTGGTTTGAGTGTGGGCGAGGACACAGCGGCCCCATGATTTCCTATTGCCCGGGGACCTCATGAGTTGTCAGTCCGCCCCTGTTTGTCTGTTATAATTTACAAATATTTATTAATTATTTACATTCTGTTCTGTACATCCTATACTGGACTGTTTACTGCTTGTATTATTTTCCCCCAGGCCACATGTGGACAGAACAAAACAATGGTGGCAGAGATGTTTCTTGTGGGGTTTGGGAATCTCCAACACATAAGTAATGGTATTTGTGTTTTGTTCTTCATGGCTTATCTGGCCACAGTAACAGGGAACATGTTAATTATAACCTTGATATCTACAAGTACAAATCTCCAGTCCCCCATGTACTTTTTTCTTAGCAACCTATCTGCCTGTGAAGTGCTTATAACCACCACAATCATGCCTAACATGCTGTACATTGTATGGTTGAACGGAGGTTTTGTATCATTCTATGGCTGTATCATCCAATTCTACTTGGCATCCTCATCCGGTAGTGCAGAATGTCTTCTCTTAACTGTTATGGCGTATGACAGGCATTTGGCCATTTGCAACCCTCTGAGATACTCTTCCATCATGAACAACAACACTTGCAACCATCTGGCAGCTTGGGCATGGGTGGTTAGCTTTACATTCTTCGCCATGTTGATAATTACGATCTGCCACCTACAGTTTTGTGGTTCAAACACTATTGACCATTTCTTTTGTGATCTAGCTCCACTTCTGCAGCTGTCTTCTTCAGACACATATCTGGTGGATATGGAACAAATCTTCATCGTAATTTTTCTAGGCATTGTCACATTTATCTTGATCATAGTCAGCTATATCTCCATATTTCATACCATTCTGAAAATTTCTTCACGATCCGGAAGACAAAAAACCTTCTCCACATGTAGTTCACATCTGGCATCTGTTTGCATTTACTTTGGATCGATATGTATTACCTATGTGGTTCCTTCTCAGCCAAAGAAGAAGATGAACAAGTTTACCTCGCTGTTCTACACTGTTGCAATTCCTCTTTTAAATCCAATTATTTATAGTTTAAGGAATCGGGAAATGATAGATTGTTTTAATCATTATTTTAAACTCATTAATAAAAGTAATAATCGGTGTGTACTTTTTTAATATGATTTAATAAGCCATCATGGCCTCCAAATGGTTTGTTTTAATAAGCAGATCACCAAACACAAAATATTGGAGGACTAAAGTAGTCCTATTAGATTGGAGAAAAGATGAAAAAGGAAACAGTTAAATATTGTGGTTTTCAATGATTTTTTGCTCAGTATTTACCTCTTTCACCTAAAATTCACATATTTGAAAACATTTTTGAATACTGGGTGAGAGGTTTGTAAATCTGTATGAAAACAAAAAAGTCTTCTTAACTACTTAAGGACAGGCCGCCTGCATAATGGTATATCACTGCATTCATTCACCGCCCAGGGGCGGACTGACCATTTGGGAACTTGGGCACTGCTCGAGGGCCCGGGGTCAGAAGGGGGACCCATGAGATGCTCCTGGTACCTTTTTCATAGGCTTTTTTGGGTGTGGTTTGAGTGTGGGCAAGGACACAGGGGCCCCATGGTCCCCTATTGCCTGGGGGCCTCATGAGTTGTCAGTCCGCCCCTGCCCCCGCCCCCCCCCTTCCCTACTGAAACACACTGTTATAAGAAACAAAGAGATGTGTTAGGAAAAGAGGCACATATTTACACATTGTTAGGCACATATTTAACCCCTTGAGCATCCTGGAAGTTAGCTCCTTCCCAGCCATTGTTATTATTACAGTGACAGGGTATAGTATTATCACTGATCACTGTATTAATGTCACTGGTGATGGGTTAGTCAGTTCTCCCCTCAACGTCAGTTAATGTCAGATTGCCCACCGCACTATCACAGTCACAAGTTGTTGATCCCTGCCATTACTAGTTTTTTTTTTTTTTTTTTAAATCCAATATATATTTACCAAAGTTTGTAGTTGCTATATCTTTCATGAAAACCAATCAATTTAAACCTATTGGGATTTGTTTTACTAAAGATATATAGAAAAATACATTTTGGCCAAAATGTATAAATACATTTTTTATTGGATATGTTTAAACATTTTTTTTTTCAAAGTGTATAGCCAAAACATTTTTTTTTTTGTTTTGGATAGATTGCGGAATGGTCATAACTACTCCTAGTTTATATCTTACTATCTACACTCACCATTCTCTTTATTAGGTCCACCTGTTCAATTGCTCGGTAACACAAATTTGCTAATCAGCCAATCACATGGCAGCAACTCAATGCGTGTAGGCATGCAGACGTGGTGAAGATGACTTGCTGAAGTTCAAACAGAGCATCAGAATGTGGAAGAAAGGGGATTTAGGTGACTTTGAACGTGGCATGGATGTTGATGCCAAACGGGCTGTCTGAATATTTAAAAATCTGTTGATCTACTGGGATTTTTATGCCCAGACATCTCTAGGCTTTACAGAGAATGGCCCAAAAAAGACAGTGAAATGGTCAGCAAACAAGCAAGGATTGGCCCAGGCAGCAGGAGGAAACACGGTCAATAAACAGGCAAGGGCCAGTACAGGCAGCAGAGAGACACTGTGACTGGCTGTACTATTGGGGCTCATTTACACATTAGGTTGGGGGCTATAAAGCCTTGCAGCTGAGTTTTAGTTTTACCGCCTGACAACTGATACCTCCTGTAGCTGCAAAGGCAGCAGCAGGGTGTGTATGCATGCTGTATAGTTATGTAGCTTTGTTTTTCAGCCATGACAGGGATCATATCTCCTGTACACCCACTAATTGCAACTCATTCAAGTGAGTGAGATGTGCAGGGTCCAAGGGGTTGAAGTAGACGATGAAGAAGCAATACAAAGTCCCCTTACCACCTGTCAAATTCTCTCTGAAGAGTGATCCAAATGTGGATCATTCTTTGGAGAGCACAGCACATGTCCTTAGGCCTTGTTTTCATGGGGCATATGCATCTATGCCCCATGTGATAACCAAGTTTACCTGCAGGGGGATGTAAAGTTGTTCCATGTGGGTAGTCTCATTCAAATCAATTGGGACGCAGCAGATGCACAGATACAGTTACTGGTCTAAATGACACATCTGTGCAGGTGCATGGATATCACATTGGGAACAGCGAATGTGTCTGTGTAGCTACTGCATCCCATTTGACTTGAATGGGACTAGTCACATGGGGATGCATGGGACAGCTGTTCATCCCTGTGTGGGAAAACACGGCCATCGCTCAGGTCATGGATGTATATGCCTTGTGTGAACAAAGCCTTATAATGACAATGGGACTGGTGTGGTAGTGACTGGAGACACTGGTGACTGGTGTGGTAGTGACTGGAGACACTGGTGACTGGTGTGGTAGTGACTGGGGACTCTTGTGATTGGTGTGGTAGTGACTGGGGACATTGGTGACTGGTGTGGTAGTGACTGGGGACTCTGGTGACTGGTGTGGTAGTGACTGGGGACACTGGTGACTGGTGTGGTAGTGACTGGGGACTCTTGTGATTGGTGTGGTAGTGACTGGGGACATTGGTGACTGGTGTGGTAGTGACTGGGGACTCTGGTGACTGGTGTGGTAGTGACTGGGGACACTGGTGACTGGTGTGGTAGTGACTGGGGACACTGGTGACTGGTGTGGTAGTGACTGGGGACACTGGTGACTGGTGTGGTAGTGACTGAGGACACTGGGGACTGGTGTGGTAGTGACTGAGGACACTGTGACTGGTGTGGTAGTGACTGAGGACACTGGGGACTGGTGTGGTAGTGACTGGGGACACTGGTGACTGGTGTGGTAGTGACTGAGGACACTGGTGACTGGTGTGCTATTGACTGAGGACACTGGGGACTGGTGTGGTAGTGACTGAGGACACTGGTGACTGGTGTGCTATTCACTGAGGACACTGGGGACTGGTGTGGTAGTGACTGAGGACACTGTGACTGGTGTGGTAATGACTGGGGACTCTGGTGACTGGTGTGGTAGTGACTGGGGACACTGGTGACTGGTGTGGTAATGACTGAGGACACTGTTGACTGGTGTGGTAGTGACTGGGGACACTGGTGACTGGTGTGGGTAGTGACTAGGGACTCTGGTGACTGGTGTGGTGGTGAATGGGGACTCTGTTGACTGGTATGGTAGTGACTGGGGACTCTGGTGACTGGGGTGGTAGTGACTGGGGACTCTGGTGACTGGTGTGGTAGTGACTGGAGACTCTGGTGACTGGTGTGGTAGTGACTGGAGACTCTGATGACTGGTGTGGTAGTGACTGGGGACTGTGGAGACTGGTGTGGTGGTGACTGGGGACTCATGACTGGTGTGGTAGTGACTGGGGACTGTGGAGACTGGTGTGGTGGTGACTTGGGACTGTGGTGACTGGTGTGGTAATGACTGGGGACACTGGTGACTGGTGTGGTGGAGAATGGGGACTCTGGTGACTGGTGTGGTAGTGACTGGGGACTCTGGTGACTGGTGTGGTAGTGACTGGGGACACTGGTGATTGGCGTGGTAGTGACTGGGGACACTGGTGATTGGCGTGGTAGTGACTGGGGACACACTGGTGATTGGCGTGGTAGTGACTGGGGACACTGGTGACTGGTGTGGTAGTGACTGGGGACACTGGGGACTGGTGTGGTAGTGACTGGGGACATTGGTGAATGGAGTGGTAGTGACTGGGGACTCTGGTGACTGGTGTGGTAGTGACTGGGGACACTGGTGACTGGTGTGGTAGTGACTGAGGACACTGGTGACTGGAGTGGTAGTGACTGGGGACTCTGGTGACTGGTGTGGTGGTGACTGGGGACACTGGTGACTGGTGTGGTAGTGACTGGGGATACTGGTGATTGGTGTGGTAGTGACTGGGGATACTGGTGATTGGCGTGGTAGTGACTGGGGATACTGGTGATTGGCGTGGTAGTGACTGGGGACACTGGTGACTGGTGTGGTAGTGACTGGGGACACTGGGGACTGGTGTGGTAGTGACTGGGGACACTGGGGACTGGTGTGGTGGTGACTGGGGACACTGGGGACTGGTGTGGTAGTGACTGGGGACACTGATGACTGGTGTGGTGGTGACTGGGGACACTGGTGACTGGTGTGGTGGTGACTGGGGACACTGGTGACTGGTGTGGTGGTGACTGGGGACACTGGTGACTGGTGTGGTGGTGACTGGAGACTCTGGTGACTGGTGTGGTAGTGACTGGGGACTCTGGTGACTGGTGTGGTAATGACTGGAGACTCTGGTGACTGGTGTGGTAGTGACTGGAGACTCTGGTGACTGGTGTGGTAATGACTGGAGACTCTGGTGACTGGTGTGTGGTAGTGACTGGAGACTCTGGTGACTGGTGTGGTAATGACTGGAGACTCTGGTGACTGGTGTGGTAGTGACTGGAGACTCTGGTGACTGGTGTGGTAATGACTGGAGACTCTGGTGACTGGTGTGGTAGTGACTGCAGACTCTGGTGACTGGTGTGGTAATGACTGGAGACTCTGGTGACTGGTGTGGTAGTGACTGGGGACACTGGTGACTGGTGTGGTAGTGACTGAGGACACTGGTGACTGGAGTGGTAGTGACTGAGGACTCTGGTGACTGGTGTGGTGGTGACTGGGGACACTGGTGACTGGTGTGGTAGTGACTGGGGATACTGGTGATAGGTGTGGTAGTGACTGGGGATACTGGTGATTGGCGTGGTAGTGACTGGGGATACTGGTGATTGGCGTGGTAGTGACTGGGGACACTGGTGACTGGTGTGGTAGTGACTGGGGACACTGGGGACTGGTGTGGTAGTGACTGGAGACACTGGTGACTGGTGTGGTAGTGACTGGGGACTCTGGTGACTTGTTGCACTGGTCTGTTGATGTTGCACTGCTGTGGTGGAAAATTGAGACAATGAGACAATTGTCATACAGTGCAGCACGCAAATTAGCTGCCTCACAGAACTGTTTTTATTTCCGTGGGGCCACTAATTTTCGTACCTGTCTTTGTGCTGGGAGTGCGCCGCATGCATGCTCCAAGCACAAAGACCGGGGTGTCAGTGAGAGTGATCAGGACCTGGAACTCCCAATTCTGGGTCACCTGAACACTCTGATAGCCTCTGATTGGCTATCACAGTGATCAGTC